TATTTTTTTTATTTAAAGTAATTTAAGGAACACTTAGGTATCCAAGCCATGACACCATTAGGAACTTTGGCATTTCTAACATGGAAAAGAGGCCTGATGTGAATCTTATTACCATAATAATGACATATAACTTTAGATGAAATACAATTTCTATTTCTTCTAGAAAGTTGAGCGTTTTTCTCAAAACCAATCCCTCTTTCACTTGAAGACATATAACTAGTAGTAGATAGAGACATAACTTGTGCCAATTTTCCTTTAAGATTTTCATTTTCATGTTTTAAAGTTGGATAAATAACACAATCTATATTTACTATCTTTTAAACTAAAGTATTAGAAGTACTAAAATGCTCATCTATAAGAGATGCATGCTCTTCTTTTAAGGAATCTAAAACACTATTAAGATCATTTATCTCATTTTCAAGTTTTTAAATAAGTTTTCTTTGGAGATAAATTTTCTTAAAAGTATCTAGAGCATCTAGAAGCATTTCACGAAAATCTTTCAACAATTGCTTATAAGATGGTTTAACTTCAGGATCAGAAGTATATACCTCAGAATCTTCACTTTTCTTGTGTGACATCAAGCATAGGTTGGCATATTCATCATCAGAACATGAACTGGAAGATGAATAAGAGCTATTATCTTTTTCATCCTAAGAAATTTATGCTTTACAACCTTTAGCACGTTTTTCCTTTATCTTGTACAACACCTTATGCTTTTTCTTATGATATTTGTTGATACATGGACACATGATTCTATAATGACTCGATTTTATGCATTCGAAGCATGTGACATCTTTTTCTTTTCTCTTATGTTCGTTCTTATGTGGATGAATAGACCTCCCAAGTCAAAAACCATTTCAAAAAGGTTTTTAATACGTTTTCAAAAACAGAGTTTATTTTGCATGGCGAAAGTAAATTTTGCGTAAAAAGAGATTATGCTTATATTTAAACATTCACAAATATGCTTAATCAGTTTACAATGTATCAAATCGAATTAATGGATTTCACCAAAGTACAAACTAATCGTATTTCAAAATATTTCAATTCCACAATATGTGTTATCGATGATTTTCAATCACGTACAAGATTTTACTATCAAAGTCTTTAGACCTAATCCATAATAAGACAAGGTTGAATTATCAATTCTAAAAAAACCTACAACTTACACAACAAATCACTACCAACCGAAAATCCTATCAGCATGCAATTTTAGAAAGCAATAAAAACAACCTAATCCTGCGATCAACTACGAAGTTAAATGAGTGAGAGAGCAAATAGTGTTGGACATGTGACCTAGCACACAAGAGGTGGGTGAATTGTGTGGTCCAAAAAAACATGGTTTTAAAAACTTGTTTAGATTATAATCATAGTTTAAAAACATTTTAGTATTAAAAAGCAGAAAATAAATTGCGGAATGTAGATTTCAAAAATTAAAGAGTTAAGGGAAAGAGATGAACACCAAGAGTTATAGAGGTTCAGTAAAACAAGAAAATGACATACTCCTCTCCTCCAAGAATTAATATTGAGAGTATCCAATAAACGTTGAGAGCTTTTAATAGGTAAAACTCATGAACCCCTTTATACAAATAAAGTTAGTTGACTATCAACATAAACAATAAGACTTGAAATTTAGCAATTAAGTCTTCTCTTTCAAACGGTGGATTGATGTAGTTAGTCCTCCTTCCACAAAGGTAATTTGAAGCAGTTAGTCTTCTTTCCACGAGAATCTTGGAGCGGTTAGTCTTCAAACTTCTCAACAAAATTTGTAAGCTTTTACTACGAGATGAACGCACAAACCTTAAACCTTGGTTTTACACGAGCTAACCAATAACCTGAGAGATTTTAATATGGAGATAATCTCGAACCTTATATAAGCTTTTATCAAAGGATAAGCTTTAACCTAACATTGGTTTTACCACTGTCTAACCAAGAACCTATGAGATTTTACCACGGGCTAATCTCGAAACTATTAAGCTTTTAATCATGGATTGAGCTTGAACCTAAATAGGGGTTTGATCACACAATCCCTAAACCAAAATAATTTACGGGTTTAGCTTCCAACCTAAAAAAATCCCTAAATGGACAATATTCAACCAAGGTGTGTACAAAATATTCCCTTGGTGAATTCATAATTCTACCCTTCTATAATCACAAAAGAGCTTTCTCAAATAAGCACTTCAACTAAAATATTAGTGAGAGAAAGTAAGAAAAATATATACAGAGAGGGAGTGAGTGAGAAGTGTCAAAACACGTTTCTGGATGAAATGAAATTAAATGAGGGAAGAGACCTCTATTTATAGGCTAGAGATTGTCTCAAAAATGAAATTGGTTTTAATGTTGGTTAAGACAATATAATCGATTAAAACCTAATGCTAATCGATTAGAAACTTCAATAGTAACCGATTATCAGTTCCAAAAAGAAAAGAAAAGATATCTAGCCATTGTACATCATTAAGGAGCTGTCGTAATCACTTAGAGCTCAATTTTGAACTGATGAAATCAATTAGGCAAGTCCCCCAATCGATTAGAAATTGCAAAAAATTGACCATAGCAACTTTGATTATTCCCAATTTATCTGGCACAACTTCAAGACATTTTAGAAAATATTTTATTGAGAAAAATTAGTTTGAAAATAAATTTTAGTGTGTGAGTGTGTGTGTTTTAGCCTTGTACTCTTACGAGAATTCCCTTTTACTTTACACAATATTCACTCAGACTAAGGTAGGAATTTTTTGTACTTCAAGACTTTGTTAGATGCTTTCTTTTGTAGAAACTTGCTAGAGTTAACTTGAGATCAGGCTTGAGAAAATATTCCATTTCGGTTGCCATAATGGAATAGTGAAGTCCATCATAACCTAATACTTAGTTTTGCATCTTTATTCGCTTAAGCATTTATGCTTGACTTGTTAGAAGAGATTGGAGTCATCATAAATAAGTTATCATCATCAAAACTTCAGCAAAGGATATTATCCTTGTTAGAAGCATATTATCTGCAAAACAAGGTTCAACAGAGAGTACACCAGGATTTATAGTGGTTTGGCATGTTCGTCCTCGCTTTGTGCTTAATCCACTCTCAAATGATTTCCCATTGAAAATTCAACAGTCTTCCATCATGATTTAAAATAATATTACAAGAGTTCGTACAATCACTAATCAACAAATGAATGCCGAAAATTAAATTTCTTCTATTCTGGATCTTGACTTATACACCACTCCACGAACTGAACTCTATTTGAAATCTTGACTAAAGATCACATTTTAAAATTTTCAGCCCCAACATCATGTTTATGAGTCGTCGTCTGTGGCAACTCCCATACAATTCTACCGGTATCTTGAGCGTTGGTCAGTCCAAAGATTGAGAAGAAATCCTACCTTGTCCGTAGGCTTCCACACAATACTACCAATGTCAACCTGGAGAGAAGAACCCCCTTATTTTTCACAGGAATTATCATAATCAGTCACAATACCACACACTCTTGCAAGCCTCTAAAACCTTAAACAAATCTTCAAAAAAAAAAAACGTTAAATCTAAAAGGATTCTCCTTAATCAATCATGAATCTAGATAAGATTCAAATCCATGCAATAATGAAAAAAATAATGAGATAGAAGATGAAAGAAATAGTTTGTAAGTGTGCAAAAAAGATTCAAAACTCTTTTGAAAATAAAAGAATAAGTGGTTTGTGAGTTTTTAAATCATCAATGAAAGAATGTGATTTCTAACATTGTGAACGGTTTGAGAGTTAAAAATGATTTATAGGTGCTGAAGATGAAGCAAAAAAAGAAGTGAAATAATTATGTTTGATTCGAGTTAATACCACTTGTTGATTTGAGTCAAGAGACAGAGTAATGTGGAACAAGATCTACACTTAAAGAGAGATCCATTATTCTGTGATTTAAGTCAAGAATAAAGCATGATTCGACTCACACATGCTATGATTCAAGTCATGGTTTGGTCATGATTCGACTCAAACTTACTAGAGGCTGAAAAGGGACTTGTGATTTGACTCATTTAAAAGCTGTGATTCGACTCACAGAGTGCATGATTCGAATCAAGAGCAAGTCATGATTTGACTCACAAACTAACACAAAATCCTGATTCTTCTCTTGTTTGTTTGATTCGACTCAAGAGATTGTACGATGCAAATCACACATCCAAAATATCAATAATTCAAGTTTTCAAAGGTGTTTTGAGATTCTACTTGTGTCATGACGTGAATCAATCTCAATTATGGTTCTTGTTCCAAAACCTCGACTAATTGACTTAAAGTATGATGTTCATACTCAAACACAAACAATTTGAATCATGCATGATAAAATATAGATCTAAAACTCGATCATAAAAGATGTACAATTGAAAAGGAGACTCAAATATAAAACTAAATTCAAAGTAAAGCTTAAGAAACAAGCAACAAAGTCACGTAACAGGCTCCCCTTAATGTATCAGAGACGTGCAAACTTCATGCAACTTTAACACTTCTTCTTTGGTTATACTTTGTGGCTAAGTTGGAACGATATCCTTTTTAATGATGGATGTGTAGAAATTTAAAAATTAATTGAGAATGACATAAATTCTTGGTTTGGGAGTGATCGTTTTGTAAGATTAAAGATTCTTTTAGTCGTAATCAGGAACAATGGAACTCTAATTTAAATTCATACTTCCTCTATTTCTAATCTAGATTGCTGTATTTATTATTATTTTATTTTTTTAAGGTTGAGCATCCTTATGCTCAATCATATTCTCACCCTACCTAACAATAATAAATAATATAATATAAATTATTTTTATCAAAAACAATGAATCTAAAAATTAAAATTATTTTTATCAAAAACAATGAATCTAAAAATGCTTTTGCCAACAATCACATTCCTAAAAACAGCTAGAATGATTACAAACAAAACACAATTTAAGAAACAAAATGAATCAAAGAAACAAAAAGTGGACATGTATTATTCTTCAACACAAACAAAACTAACAAAAACCAATTCACTACTTACATAACTAATGATGAATCTGTTCAAGAGCATTGGTTATTCTTAGCCTGGTATAAACAGCACGCCACCCTGCATCTGTAGGATGAACCATATCCCAAAAGAAAGCAGATTTAGGATTCTCGCAAACCTTATACTTCTTAACCTTCTTCACAACACTTCCACAAAAATACTTACTACTCTCTCCAACACAACAAGGTTCCAACTCATTCTTAATGTTGTGTGTGCTTGGATGCTTCAACACCGACATGAAACTATTGTATAAATCAAGAACTATAAAGGGTGCTGAAGAATGATCATTATTTTGTTGGTTTAATTTTGTGACAGCTTCGGTTAAAAGGATGTTATGGTAATTTACAAGTAGGGTGTTAGATGTTTCGTTGCATTGTTTAAATGAAGATGAAGCTGTTAGTGAAGGTAAACATCCAACTGGTTGTAGATTCGATATAATCACTTTTTTCACTCCTAATTCTTTGATGCGAATCACGTTTGTGATTGTTTGATTAACCACCGATGATATGAACGATGGTAAACCCTACATGTATGATATTGAGTCACATTCATCAAAATTATTGATGTTACAAAAAATTCATCTAAATTATTGAAATAGTGAAATGAGTTGTTTGAATTAGAACCAAGTATGTAATTATAATGTGGACAAAATTAAAGTAATAAATTTTCTTTGGATTTATATGTCAGTAGTTGATAAATAGTAAGTTGATAATAAGTTTAAGAAACTTAAATTTTAGATTTCAAAATAACAAGTAAACAAAAAACATGTACCTGAATAGAGCCATTTTTGACATTGTAACGAGTGTAGTCATTTCCAGCGACAGAAACAAGAGCCACTGATTTTCTAATATCTGAGGTTGTGAATACTTTGTCTTGTATTGCCTTTTCAAAAAAACTGATCTGGGTTGTCATGTTTGGACCTGGATACAGTGTCTCAAACACACCAGTACCACCAAATGCAAAGCTCATCCCATTTTTCAAATGATGTGGTGCCAAATGTTTTCTTATTCTGTATGATGCTGGTGATTTCAGTTTCAAATACATGGCTGCAATTGCATGCATAATGTAGGTTAATAATCAAATACATTTTTTAAGTTTCACTTAATAGTAAAAAATAATAAAATAGCATGATTGATTTTGAGCAACATGATTAAAGTTGGAGAATACTTTTGCTTTTGCTGACAAAGTTGGAGGGTCTAGTTAGATCCACTTGTTATGATAAAAGTTCTGCTTTGAAATATAAAAAAAAAGTGTATCTAGAATTTCTAAGATGCATTTTTATAATTTTACTAACTAATATTGATATTAATCAACCCACCACATTAATTCCTTTTGGCATGATTAGGCCAATTAAAATCTAGTTATTTTGTCATAATTGCATTGAACTATTGTAATCATATAAGGTAGTAAAAGATATAGGTCTAGATTTAAATATTTTTAGAAATAAATAATAAAAATTGAATATAATTTTTTATAGATAATAATCACTAAAAATTCACACAGTCGTGAAATATAAAGTTCTGATTACAGTGTTGTGTCCTTCTATGTATATATAATTTGATTATCATTATAAATGAAAATTTGACTAAAGAAGAAAAAAAAATTGAATATATCTTTCTAAATACATGAAATAGTCACCAGAGCATATTCAAAATTGATAAATTCACATAAATTCGGACAAATTTGCCATGAAACCAAATATACACCGTAGAAAATTGTAGTAGTAATGAAAAGGAAAAAAAAACACAAATAGTAGCTATAGAGGAAGCACTTACTTTGAGTGTTAAAGGAATGATTACTAAAGTGACAAAAGTGTCACGCTAGAACCCATAAAACATGCCCGTTAGAATGAACAACGTGTCATGTAGTCAAAAAACAGAGTAAAAAGAAAGTGAATATGCTAAATTAAAAGGTACTATGACACATAAACTCACTAATAGACCTAGTTTTTTTACTCGTAAAAGAAACAACATTATAACACCAGAATAGATAGCCATGTCACAAGCCAGCTGAGATATGAACCCCACTAATTCATCCACTATATAATTGCAGACAACATAATTATAAGTTAATGTCCTTTTTCACTCAAAATATTCTTAATATTTTTATTATAATGTTCCAGAGCCGGCACAAAAGCAAAGCTTTTGCTAATGATAAAAAGCTAAAGATATAATAAAATGTATATTAAATAGAATTACAGTAATAATAAAAAAAACTAAGAAAGAAAGAAATTGTAACGAAGCAATTGGACGTACCAATGTAGTCGGTGAGGACTCTGCCGTCGGAGAAACGGCCGGCGGGCTTGCCGGGAAAGGTGACACCATAAGGATGTTTCCATGAAAAAGCAAGACCTCTTTTGATGTTTCCTGTGTCAGCATATGAATCTCCAAACACAAACAATTTTGTTATACGCTCTTTATGATGATGGTGGTGACGTTGAAAATCAACCTCACCTTGTACAACTCTTTGTCCTGTGAAAAAATAAACAAGCAATATTAACGATAACATCAATCGATACATTAACAACCAAAACAAAAAGAAAGCATTTTAGTTAGTTAGTTAGTTTGTACCAGAGAGATGAAGAATGAGGAAAATGAAAGAGAGGAGAAAGTAAAAGAAATTCATGAATGGAGAGAGAGAGAGAGAGAGAGAGAGAGAGAGAGAGAGAGAGAGAGAGAGAGAGAGTGAAGTGATGGAGTTTTGAGATTTGAAGAGAACAAATGAATAGATGCTTATGCGTTTTATTTTAAAGTGCTATCTCCACTCACTCATTATTTTGATGGGTTAATAATGTTAGATTTGTTATAAAATTATTCAAGGTATTTAATTAAATGTATTAACTTACATTGAAAATATATGAACTTTTAATGATTTCGTTTGTTCCAAAAGAACTTACTATATGTTTAAGAAATTAACAAAGTTAAAAAATATATAAAATTACAAGATTTTTTTTTATTAAAGTGTCTTTTATTTATTTGCATTATACTATAAATACGAGTTGACCTTATTCAATAAAAAAAGTAAAGTTGAATTCTCTTAATACACTCTATATATATTTGATTCATCTTGTGCTAATTGTTTCGGTGGTATTATAATATATATGTTATGTTGAGTTTTTTTATAAAATTTTTTTAGTTTAATTCGAATAAGGTTATAAAAAAAATTATATTGTCTTTTATAATAGATTATGTATATTTTGAATATTTGTTTCTATAGTTATAGTTATTTTGATATATTTTTGACGGGTCAGTGGATAGAAATTAATATGATAAGTTCAAATTTCATATGAAACTATTGTAAATTATTTATTATTGTAGTTATTAGTAATTACAACTTTCTCTTTCTCAAAAAAAATTAATATAAAACAATTAAATTTATAAAAATTTAGATATACACAACTAACATTTAATATTTAACTTATTCATATGTAATTTTTGATTTTGTAGTGTCGATTAAATCTTTCTTATAATTATGGAAAAGATAAAAAATGGTCAGTTAATTATTTCTCATTCAACCAGCAAGATCGAGAAATATTCTTGTTATTCCTAAAAAAGAATAAAAATTATTTTTTCCTAAAAAGAGAAATATCATTTTTATTCCTAAAAAAAGGAAAAAATTTTTATTTATAAAAAAATATTTTCAGTCAAAGATATAAATATAAAAAAATGAAATTGTTATATATTTAAATTGCATTCTAAATATATTAGCAGTGAATTAAATTGTAGATGTTTCGCATCTACATGAACCCAAATACTTATCACCTCATATTTTGATTGAATGAAGAAAAAAAGCTATTAGTTTAATGCCTTAAAATAGATATAAATCGCCAATATTTTTTCCATTAACTCATAAGTTAGTTTTTTTAATAAACTTTTTAAATATATTTTATCTTAACATAATTGATAAACATTATTACTAAGAGCAACTTCAACACATAGTTGTTAAACCAAAATTTTATATAACTTACATTATTAATAAGGAATTTGCATTATAGTAGAGCTGATATGACATATGGGATGCTCTAAAACTAGTTTACGTGATCTACACAAGCAACGTACTATAACTCATTATTTAACATAAATAATAGATTTTTATTAATTATTTAACATAAATAATAGATTTTTATTAACCATTTAATACCAAGTTTGAATTCCTTATAAACAATTATCATTGAAGTAAAAACTTCTTAATTCAATTTTGGATTGCTTAAATCCTTCTTGTCAATTTGGACCCACGTAAAATAACTTAGTTCATCCAATTTAGTTGCTCCCATTAAAGATGCTGTAAGGGTGCTTGCGACATAATTTGGATCGATTTTAAAACAAAAATATATTCAATTCAAAGATAATTTATTTACAGTTAGTTTAAATTTTAAATAATTCATTAAAAAAATTTAATCTGATCCGATTTAATTTTATATAGTTTAACTTAGATCAAATTTTAAATATCTAAATTATAAATTATATTTTTTATTAATATTATAAAAAACTATAAAATAATATGCTTAACATAAAATATATAATATATACAACATATAATATATAAAACATAAAATATATAATATGCTTAACATAAAACATATAATATCTGAGTTTATTATAAATTATGCGGAATGCTTATTTCGCCAATACTCACTAAAATACAGTTTTCCAATCTGCACTAGAACATGATTAATTAAGTTATATTATTAAAATAAGTTTACGTTCAATGTTAGACAAGAGTTCTTCAATTTCTTATCCGTATTTTGTTCTTTGATAGTAAGAACTTGGTTTAATGATCTCAGTTCTTTAACCGCCCATTCCTTCACCTCTAATTCTTTTAAAAAAATATTATTTACTTTGCAAACAAAATTAGAGGTGGAGAGATGGGTGGTTGAAGATCTACAATCATTAAACCAATCTCTAACTGTCAAAGAACAACATGCAGTTAATAGTGTGAAAAATTCTTGTCAAGAATTGAAAATGTACTTATTTTCTAATATAATTTTATCTATCATGTCATAATTTTCTAATACAGTTTGAAAAATTATATATTCGGTAAGGGATTGGAAAAACACTCAAACCACATAATATATAATAAACTCATAATTTAAACAAACATTAACAACAATATTCATCAAAAACATTCATCAACAACAAACATATCAAGTCATAAAATACTTCAGAAACATACGATACATGTCCTATAATGGCGTGTCAACAATGAAATAAGAATGAAGATAAATTTAGACCCGCAAACTTGTGTATATTTTGAATGGATGTCATTCTCGATCTTTGATACAAGTTTTCAAGGCTAAATTTAGCTTCGTTTTCTTTATTGAAAGAAGCATTCATATCTACAAGTCAAAACAAGAAGGAAGTTCAAACATCATGAAACAAGCTATTGGAACAGATTTTGAAAAGAAAACTATAAAGAAAACAAACCTGTAAATACCCATTGGCTAAGATTTGTTATTATGGTTTCATTTTGGGGTTTCCATATGAGAGAGACGAGTGACAAAGTTGTTAGAGTTTCGTTTTGAGAGAGACGAGTGAAAGAGTTGTTAGGATTTTGTTTTGAGAGAGACGATTGTTATGTACTGAAGCGATAGATAATTTTGCTTATATATAAATAAAGTATCACCTTTCATCACTGTTGGTAATAAAAATTGTGGTGATATACAAGATCAATAACATTTTTATAACGATAAATGGCAAATTGTTGATGCTGGGATTCGAACTATTTCACTCCGTGTACCTTTCACTATGGTTGCTTCATTTGACCGTTGTGACATGTCCTCTAGTAAATACAAAAAAAAAAAAGTTCAGGAATAAACTATTATCACAGTTAAGACTATGGCCGTTGTAAAATTGGTGTTACGAAAGGTTCTATTTTGTAGTAGTGAAATAATATAATATCAAAAAGTACAAGTGATGTACTTACTTTTGGTAAAACATAGACGAACTTTTTTACCAAATACATTATGTTTGAGTGCATTATACTTCTCCTTCGCTCTACACATGTCAGTTAAAATTAAACATGAAAAAATTATTCAACTCTAAAGTTAAAAATAATATCACTTACCTATTCAAAGCGTTAACCACTTCTTCGGGCAGTTTAGTGTGCAACGAGAAAAACACAACTATAGTATTTTTCTTGGTACATATAACAATTAGTTTCCAATATGAACTGTATAAACATTCAGAATGATTAATATGTATACAATTTATTTATAAGTGGAAACACAAATTAATATATACTTACTTGCAGTAAAACGGGGCAAAATAACAATCTTTGATGTTCCCTTTCAACTTATCGTTTAAGTAAAGAAGGATATTCTTTTGTGTTGAACCACGAGTATGATCAACGTGCGTTGGATCTAAGATGCAATACCTGTTTTGAAGTTTCATTTCAACATATAACTCATGGATGTACCTGCAAGAGCAGATGTTTATGTTAAACTAGAAGAATATATAAATATAAATAGAGATAAACATAAAAACTATACTTACAAAGACCATATTTGTAATACGAAATTGTCTAGATACATGTTTTTCGACAAAAATTCATGCACATAAATCCTAGAAAGCATGAATAACTGAGTTGGACCATGGTCTAATGTAATACCCATACATGGGTTTGGAATACTATCAATGATCATTTCTAGTTTCTTAATGTTATCTATTTTTGACGGTGTGTGTTAAATACTGCCCTGGTTGGAAGAAAAAAATTCTTTTGCGCTTGTACCACCCGTAACTTTCTGAACTTCATTTCCTCGAATATCCAACTAATTTGAATTTATGTAGCTTAATAGACCCAACGAATTCAATTTCTGCATCATAAACACAATCCAAAATTAAAATACGCAAACAATAATAACAACAACAACATACAACTTATACCTCAAGCACATCGTGTGTACACTTCTCAAACACCTTTTCCTCAGTCAACCTCTCTCGCTCCTCCGGCTCTTTCTGGAGACTCTTCCGCATCATTTGCAACAACCTCTCCCTTTCCTTCCACAGCACATATGCAATTTCATTATTAACAAATTTATTTAACTAAAATAAATATTGTTGAAAAAAATATCTACTTAGAATCCTTTGAGCCACTCCGCGTGTAGCATCTAATGTGAACTCACAATTTTTCTTTGATACACCCTCTTCCATTTCTCATGGTGTGATGGTGGAGATGGAGTGCGATCAAGACTTATATAACCTCATAGCTCTTTCTCCCATTTGTTTTCTTTTTGTAAGTTCAGTGTGTGAGTGCAACTTCACCATGAGATATTTTGCGTGATGACAAAACGACTTTGCATCTTGGTATATTAGACAACAACTCTGAGTATGTGTGGCTCCTTTGCATTAGAGTTCTTAGAAATCATCAAAAATCACCTTGAACTAGCCCAAACACTTGAAAACCAAAATTCTGCATAAAAATGCATTACATGTGTCGACACATACACATTTCAGGCCGACACATGTAACTAAATATTGAAGCATGTAGCCTCTTTTGTTTATGCATAAAAATGCATTGCATGTGCCAGCATATACACATTTTAGACCGACACATGTAACTCAATATTAAAGTCTGTAGCTTCAGTTTCACTCTGGTCGACACATACTGTAACACCCTTCTAACCCCGC